TTCTATTCTAATTCTATTCTATTCTATTCTATTCTATTCTATTCTATTCTATTCTATTCTATTCTATTCTATTCTAATTCTATTCCATTCCATCCCATATATTCTATTCTATTCTATTCCATTCCATTCCATCCCATATATTCTATTCTATTCTATTCTATTCTATTCTATTCTATTCTGAATTATATTCTATTCTGAATCATGTTCTATTCTGAACTGCATTCTATCCCATTCCCTATTATATTCTAAATAATTCCTAATTCTATTCTATCCATAATAATTAATTCCTAATTCTGTTCTATTCCTAGTAATTCCTAATTCTATTCTATTCCTAATAATTCCTAATTCTATTGTACTCCTAATTCTATTCCTAATAATTCCCAATTCTATTCTATTTTATTCTTAGTAATCCCTAACTGCTAAATCCAATGCCCTACTGTCTTCCATTCCATTCTGTTAAGGTTGCTCGGAAGGCCTTGGAAGGGACGGGCCTCGTGATTTCTAAAAAGCACGTGCAGTCTACAAATGAGCAAAGCAGGGAATACGTGTCAGACTTTTTTTTAAAAAAAGCGTATTTTACCTGTGTTGGTGGAGGTGGGGAAGGATGATGGGAAGCCGACGCCCTTTCCAGCACGCTCAGGCGGCACTCCAGTTTGGAGATAGCCACTTGGAGGTTTGTGACCACTGAAAACACGAAGGAAAAAAAAACACGATTAAAAGGATAGGATGCTACGCCGCAATCCCTCAACTTAAAAGCTACCACCGAGCCTTACGGCGTGGCTAACTCACCACTACGAAGGTGCTGGTTTTCTGCCTCCAAGTTAGCAATCCTGGTGACCACCTCATTTTGGTCTCCGGCCGGTCCTGCAGGGGAGGGGCCGCTGGCGGTCTGCAAGAGACGGCGAGGACAAAGGGAGGGAGGGAGGGAGGGAGTTTGAGGCCAGGCCAACCACTGAACCCCAACCAGACCCACAGAAAACGAAGCTGAGCGGTAGCCACATGGAGGGAGATGGGACAGGGGAAGACTTTCCAGTAAGCAACTGGGAACCGGGAAGAGCACGAGACCGGACAGCTTTTGTGGTTTGCAAAGGAAAGGGAAGGTGAGATGCTTCAACACCCAGGGTGTGTTTCCTTGTTTTCCTAAAAGGTCTTTATAACAGAGGCCTAATGCAGCCCAGATAATTAAAAAGTTGCAACGCTGGATGATCTTTCTATGAGGGTTTCCTTGGCTCTCTGAGCTCGGTTCCTTCCTTCCTTCTCCTTGGCGCTCCCTGAGCTGGTTTGCTTTCTTGCAGACGTTTCATGACCCAACTAGGTAACATCATCAGTGACCTACCTACCTACTACCTATCCTCCCCTCGGTGTTCTTGGAGTTTGGTGGTTTTCTTGCACGTTTCATGACCCAACTAGTGACTTTGTTTCCTTCCTTCCTTCCCTCTCTCTCCTCCTTGGTGCTCTCTAAACTCGGTTGTTGTTCTTATTGCAGACATTTCGTGACCCATCTAGATAACATCACCAGTGCTAGAAGGCAGTAGGGTTTGTGGGGAGCGCGGGGGGTGGAGGAGGAGGATGGTTGGGATCCTTGGTGCTCTCTGGGCTTGGTTTGTGTTCTTGGATAATCTCATGACTGAGGCTCAGAGAGGACCCAAGAGCTCTCATTTCAACCATGAGCTACAAACATTCTCCTTTACTGATGCCGTAATTTGCTAAGACACAGCCCAGCATCTTCAACTGGGAAGTGTGAACTCTTATGTTAAGAAAGGACGTGCAAGAACCTGTCATAAAATCTCACCACCCCACAAGGCTGAGGGCAGAAACCGCCTTGCCTTATTCAGGGTGGGACAGAATGGGAGGATCCACAGGACCTCTGAAGAGCTGGGCTAGAAATCTTATCAGCTATTGAGTACGATGCAATTTATTTATTTATTTATTTATTTATTTATTTATTTATTTATTATTTTTGTAAGAAGGATTTCATTTCTCCGGCCTTTAACAACGAGCCACTCTGTGGCAAAGTGCAAAAAGCAGAAGGGTGGAACCCGCAAAAGATTTAAGAAGAAAAAGCACGCGATATATGAGCAGCACAAAACTCTTCAAGGGAACCGGAGCCATTTTTGCATCAGGCTGTCTGGAAACGGATTTCTGACAAAACAACAACAAAATTTTTCATTGGGAAAAAATCCAGGGGTGGCCTGCTACCGGTTCGTCCCGGTTCAAAAGAACCGGTATTTAATTTTATCATTGTGAAAGCCGGTTCGGCAAACTGGGATAAATCCACACCTGGCTGGCCCCGCCCTCCCAGGAGTCCCCATTTGGCCCATTTTAGAGGCCAGGTAAGTACAAGGGCGCACGTGAGGCTTGGGGAGGGTGAAAAACAGGCCTCCTGGAGGCTCCAGAAGGCTGGAAACAGGCTAGTTTCTGGCCTCCCGAGCCTGCTGAGGCTGTTTTTACCTCCCAGAGGCTCAAGGAAAAGCCTCCGGAGCCCGGGGGAGGGAAAAAACGCACCCCCCCCCCACATGATGCAGGAGACCAACTAAGCCACGGCCACCATGGCCACACCCACCCAGCAACCAGGCAAAGAACCCATCGCTAAAATTTTTGAAGTCCACACACACACACACCCGGTACTGATGTGGTTCGCCGGCAGCAGGTGCGGACGGCTGAGGCCTGGGAGAGCGAGGACTCAGATGAGGGGCCTGCAGGTGATTCAGGGATGGGGCCAGGACCACCAGGGAGTGGAGTGCGGCCTTTGGAGATGGTGGAGGCTGGTAGCAGTGAGGAAGAGTCCCCCGAGGAGCCTGTGCCCAGTGTGCGTGCACGCAGGGCTGCTCGAAGGGAAGAGCAGCTGCAGCAGCACAGGTGACTTGGGAGTAAGGCTGAAAGGTGATGGCTCCTTCCCTTAAGGGATAAAAGCCAGCCCTCAGTGGTGGGATTCTTTGCAGGAAGCAAAGAAGTTCTTGCACTTCAAGCCTTGGGGAAGTTTGGACTCTCTTGGTTTGTATCAGAAGATTTTTTTTGTTTGGAATATTTCTTAGTGACCTTGTCTAGTGTTGTTGGCTGCCTTGCACAACCTTGGCAAGGCTCGTTCTTATCAGAGACAATTAGTTTTCATAGCCTTTTAAAAGTGAATTAACAGAATTTGCAGAGAAGCATAGAAGGTTTTGCTTTTATCGCTGTTTGGCGTTTGTTTACTTGGAACAAGGTTTGGGTCAGAACAGGTACAGGTTTATCCTCGACTTACAAACAACCAATTCGTTTAGTGGCCGTTCGAAGTTACAGCGACACCAAAAAAAGGTCACTTCTATGACCGTTTTTCAGTCTTACAACCATTGCAGCATCTCCATGACTGTGTGATCAAAATCTGGACACTTGGCAACCGGTTCCTATTTATGACGGTCACAGCATTACCGGAGGGGGTCACATAATCCCCTTTTGTCAATGGGGGAGCCAGATTCATTTAACAAACATGTTACTGACTTTAAATAACTGCAGTGATTCATTTAACAACTGCAGCAAGAAAGTTTTGTAAAAAGTTCACTTAAACCACCGTATTGCTTAATGACAGAAATTTTGGGCTCTATTGTGGTCATAAAACTGAGGACTACCTGTACAAATAAGGGACTTTTTAAGTGTAGGGTCGTGATGGCGAACCTAGGGCACGCGGGCCACAGATGGCACACAGAGCCATTAGTGCGGGCATACGAGCCCCAGGCAAACTTACCTGCACTGAGCACGTGTGTGCCTCCCAGATGATTTTCGGGCCTTTTTCAGCCTCCCAGAGGCTCGAGGGAAGCCTCTGCAGGCCGAAAAATAGGCCCATTTGGTCACTTCCTGTATTTCCAAAAATACTGGAAGTGACCAAACGGGCCCATTTTTCGGCCTGCAAAGGTTGGAGAGGCTTCCCTCGAGCCTCTGGCAGGTTGAAAAAGGCCTCAAAGGGGCCGAAAATCAGCTGGGAGGCGCAATGCAGGTAAGGGGGCGGTAGGGGGTGGCAAATCACATGCACAGGGGGCGTGGGAGGGCGCACATTGCCTTCTGGGTGCTGGCCCGCAAGCATGCACACAATTTTTGGCACAGGAGCCCCAAACGGTTAGCCACCACTGGTAGAGGGTATGGCTAATATAAGTATCTGATATACTTAGGTGGCCTAGAGAGAGATGTTGTTGTTTTTTAAGTGAGAGGAATTACATTACAGCCAATCCCTTCCAGAAGGTGCCTTAAGGTACCTAATTCAATGCAGGAAATTGAGAAGCAAAAATGCACAGAAATGGGACAATGGACAGGACACCATTTTGCAAGTAACCACAAGAAGAGGCATGGAGGATGCCCGTTTCTTCCAGGCCAGCTGGGACAAAACAGACAGAGACAGACAGACAGACGGAAGGTGATCGCACTCCTTCCCACAAGCAACTTACAGCCGCGTGACCCGAGCGCTTCTTGGACCGAAGGCCAGCGGCTTCCTGAGGGTTTTGCAAAACTGTCTTGAGCTGAAAAGGGTCACAATACAGCCAGAGAATTACAATTAGGATTAAATGAATGAACATTTGCTTGACTGACTGTTCTCCACGCAAGAAACACTGGGGCATAGAACAGGGCATTGTTATTGTGTAGCTTCCTTGAATGCACAGGATATTTGGTGAGACGTTATAACAGAATTAACAGAATAGGAAGGGGCCTTGGAGGTCCTCTAGTCCAACCCCCCCTGCTCAAGCAAAAGACCCTACAACATTTCAGGCAAATGGCTGACCAAACTCTCCTTAAAAAAAAAACCTCCCGCGATGGAGCACCCACGACTTCCTTTCGGCAAGCTGTTCCCCTGGTTAATTGTCCTCACGGTTGGGAAATTAATTTCTCCTTAGTTCCAGGTTGCTTCTCTCCTTGATGAGTTTCTCATCTGTTGCTTCTTGTCCTGCCTGGAGGCATGCATGACTTCTCTGCCCCAAATCCTGTCCTCTGGAACAGAATGTCCCGGTAATGCCTTGGCCTTTTTCCCAGGCCTGGCATAGGACATCTGTGAACTCCCTCTTGGAACATTTTTTTAATGCTGGGTCGGGTTTCTTCGCTTGGGCCCTTAAGTTAGATACCACGCATATTGTAAACTACGCGATGCCTCTATGCAGTTGGGTAACCTTAATAATAGCAATAACAACAAAAAAACAAGTAAACCAACCAGCCCCAAAGGCTGTGAATCTCACTAAAGATTAACCAATAATAATAATAATAAAAAGTAAATCAACCAGCCCCAAAGGCCCTGAATCTCACTAAAGATTAACTCATAATAACTACTACTACTACTACTACTGGGAACAACAGGTTGAGAAGGTTCTGGAGAATGAAAAAAGTCAAGATCTTGTGGGACTTCTAGAATTCACACGGACAGGCACTTCGCCCACAATATGCCTGACATAGCAATAGTTGAAAAGAAAAAGGGTTTGGTCCATTGACATTGCAAGCCCTGGTAATGCACGAATTGTAGACACGCAGCAAGAAAAAAAATCACAAAGTATCGGGACTTACAAATTGAAGTTGAGCGACTTTGGAAAAAGAAATCATCCTGTGTTATCCCAATTGTGATTGGAGCCCTTGGAGCAATACCGAAAGGGCTGCCTCGCTATTTGGAAATCCTGAATTTATCGGACTTGAATACTCTGATTCTACAAAAAAAAACCCACCCTACTTGGAACAGCTTATATTCTCCGATGCTACCTGAACAGTTCCTAGGTCCCTGGTTAAGACTCGAGCTGTTGAGCTACCAACCAGCCCCAAAGGCTGTGAATCTCACTAAAGATATAGTAGTAGTAGTAGTAGTAGTAGTAGTAGTAGTAGTAATAATAATAATAATAATAATAATAATAATAGGATTTGGCCAAGACTGGAAATGTTTCCAAGCGCTGAATCCAGCCAAGGCATTAAGTTCGTGTTTTAAAAGCAGCTGCTTACATATAAAAGGGAAAATTACGAATTACTTTTCCTCAGCTGATGGCAATACAGCCCAAAATGTCTGTTGCTAAGCGAGACGGCCATTAAGTGAGTTTCTGCCCCGTTTTACCCCCTTTCCGGCTGCAGATGTTAAGTTAGGAACACGGTTGTTGAATGAACCTGGCTTCCTCAAAAGGTCTCAAAAGAGGAACACGGGACGCTGCAACTGTTCTAAGTCCATGTCAGTTGCCAAGCCTCTGAATTTTGATCAGGTGACCGCGGGGATGCTGCCACATGACTGGGAAAAAGTCACAAATTGCTTTTTTACCCCCGTGCCGTTGTGCTTTCAAGTGATCCCTAAACCAATGGTTGTAAGTACAGGTAGGGCTCGACTTATGTTGTGGTTAGCCGGCAGCAGGTGCCGACGGCTGAGGAGAGCGAGGACCCAGATGAGGGGCCAGGACCATTAGGGAGTGGACTGCGGCCTTCAGAGATTGTGGAGGCTGGCAGCAGTGATGAGGAGGTTCCCGAGGAGCCTGTGCCAAGTGTACGCGCGCGCAGGGCTGCTTGAAGGAAAGAGCAGCTCTAGCAGCATGGGCGACTCAGGAGTAAGGCTGCAAGGTCATGCCCCCTCCTTCAAGAAGATAAAAGCCAGTTGTGAAGCAAAAGTTCTTTGCAGGAAGCAAAAACGTTTTGAAACTCCAGCCTCATGGACATTCCAGTATTTTGGTATTTGAAGACTCTTGTGTTGTAAATTATTTCTTATCTGTTATTCTTGGCAGCCTCGCACAGTTTTGGCGAGGCTTGTGCTTATCGAAGTTAATTAGTTTGCAGAAGTCTTTTAACGGGGGATTCGTAAGAATCATTGAAAGGTTTCTGTTCCCTTTGGTTCGTGTTTGTTTTATTGTAAAAGGGTTTGGATTAGAACAACTTACAACAACAACTGAGCCCAAAATTTATGCCGCAAAGTGAGGAATCTTTTAAGGGAGTTTCCCCTCTTTTTACGACTTTCCTTGCCATGTTTTTCACATGAATTCCTGGTTGTTAAGTGAAGCTGGCTTCCCCGTTGACTTTGGTTGTCAGAAGGGGGAATCACGTGCTGCAACCGTCGTAAGTCGGTTGTTCAGCATGCAAATGTAAAGCACGTGACCAGGCAGATGCTGCAACTGTCATAAGTGTGGAAAACGGTCCTAAGTCCCTTTTTTCAGTGCTGTCGTAACTTTGAATGGCCACTAAACAGACTGTTTTAAGTGGAGAATTATCTGTAATTATGGGAGGTAATTTGGTTGAGACCGGAAACATTTCCAGAGCTGAACTGAGCAAGTGCCTAATTAATTTCAAGTGTTTTAAAAGCAGAACATTTTACATTATATATGTATACATATATACCCTGTTTCCCCGAAAATAAGACCCTGTCTTATATTTTGTTTTGCCACCAAAAAAAAAAGGCACCAGGTCTTATTTTCGGAGGATGCCATCCACTGACTAACCTCACTTGCGCCTGTTGCCCCTGGCCCCCTTTTCGCCGTTGGAGGCCTTCAGAAACTTCTTCTGCGGCCGATAACAGAGCTCCGGATCGATCCTGAGCTTTCTTATCGGCTCCAGAGGCCTTCAGGAAAGCCTGGCCAGCCGCAGAAGAAATGGGCCGGCGAGGCAGATGTCGGGGTGTGCAAGGCCTGGCTACAACTGTCCAAAGGTAAGTAGTAGGGCAGCTCCACCCTCCCATCCCCAACCTAGCTTAATTTTTACTCGTCCACTCTGGAGTGGGCGGGATCTTAATTAGGGTTTATTTTGGGGGTAAGGCTTATATTGGGCGCACGTGTAAAAATCAAGCTAGGACTTACTTTCAAGGTAGGTCGTATTTTCGGGGAAATAGGGTAGATATATACATATATATACTTATATGGCATTCAGCTTTGTTCGGGTATTTTCCCACGTCATTGTAGTTGTGCTTTTAAAGTTGTAGCAACGTTTAAAGTTGTAGCAAGCACAGCTACAATGACGTGGGAAAATACCCGAACAAAGCTGAATGCCATACATGTAAGTACCCGCGAAAACTTAAGAAAACATATATATATACTTAATGTATACATTAAAATATAACAATATATAATATTGTATAGCATAGTATAGTATAATATAATTAATATTATATTATATTAATTATAATATAATAATGTAATGTAATGTAATGTAATGTAATGTAATATAATATAATATAATATAATAATATAATATAATAGATAACGTTACATTATATTATATAACAGAAAACTAGGAATCATTTTCCCGTACTCTCCTTCAAGCTTCAATTTTTTAGGGTAGGTCGTATCCAGCATGAAATATAATAACCATCTTAGCTGACAGTTCTCCAAGCGTCACTTAAAAATAGAATATGGATATTTAATACAGAACATCCACACTCCCTTAGCAGTGGCTAAGGGAATCACCACAGTTGTTTAGTCACACAGTGGTTGAGTGAATCCGGCTTCCCCATTGAGTTTGATGGGGAGAAGATCGCAAAAGGGGATCACAGATGCCGGGACACTGCGACCATCGTAAATATGAACTGCCAAGCATCTGAATTTTGATCAGGGGACTGTGGGAATGCTGCAATGATTTTAAGGGTGAAAAGCGGTCATAATGTTATGGATCACTGGCAGCAGGTGCGGACGGCTGAAGTCTCTGAGAGCGAGGACTTGAGATGAGGGGCCTGCGCGTGATTCAGGGATGGGGCCAGGACCATCAGGGAGTGGAATGCTTCCTTTGGAGATGGTGGAGGCTGGTAACAGTGAGGAAGAGGACCCCGAGGAGCCTGTGCCCAGTGCAGGGCTGCTCGAAGGGAACAGCAGCTGCAGCAGCACAGGCAGACTCGGGAGTAAGGCTGCAAGGTGATGGCCTCTCCCTTAAGGGATAAAAGCCAGCCCTTGGAGGTGAGATTCGTTGCAGGAAGCAAAGAAGTTCTTGCACTCAAGCCTTGTGGACGTTCGGATTATCTTGGTTGGTGTTTGGAGACTCTTTGTGTTTGAAATATTTCTTAGTGACTTTCTCTAGTGTTCTTGGCAGCCTTGCACCACCTTGGCAAGGCTCGTTCTTATCAGAGACAAATAATTGGAAACAGCATTTAAACCATGAAGGAATGGAATTCGTAAATAATCATTAAAAGGTTTTGCTGTTACCTCTATTTCGTGGTTGTTTCCTTGAAACAAGGTTTGGGTCAGAACATGTAAGTCACTTTTTTTCAGGTCCACTGCAACTTTGAACGGTCACTAAATGAACGGTTTTAAGTCAAGGACTTCCTGCATGCATCTGCTGATAAGATTTTTCTTCCCTTTCATACCTGACATTTGATTGACAAGCTTGTCATCAGAATCACCATCAGAGCCTCATTCAGGGACTGCCGCAAACTGACTCAAATCTTCAACACCTTCCAGGAATGTTCACACCTTCACATCCAGTACAGGCAGTCCTCAACTTACAAAGCTTTTTTCACACTTATGACCATTGCAGCATCCCCGTGGTCAGGTGATCGGAATTCAGACACTTGGAAACTGGCATGTACTTATGCCTGTTAAAGTGTCCCAGGGTGGGGTGTATTTCACTTGATCTTCTGCAACCAATGAGGAGCCAAGTTGATCAATAGTCTACCTTACTACCTTAACAGCTGCAAGGGTTCACTTAATGACAGCAGCAAGGAAGGTTGTTAAAGGGGGAAAGATTTGCAGCTTGGCTTTTCGAGAGAAGTGAAACCTCCCCAATTTGAGGCCAAAGAAAAGTGTACGATTCTGATAATATTGGTTTTTAATCTTGATTTCGCTCAACCCAGCATCTCCGCAGGTGCATCTTCTGGCCTGCAATGCTAACACACCTGGAAGGGCCCAGGAGGAGGAGAACTGTGTTCAGAATCTCTGTTTCCGTTAAAAAAAACAAAATAAAAAAAATACAGAAAAAGTTCTTCTCCTCTTTAAATGTTAAATATTTAAATATTCCCTGCACCGGAGTTAGAATTAGAGTAGACTCCAGTCGTTGGCTTACGATCGTTTGCTTAGCAATTGACTAAGTGGCACCCAAAAAGTAACTTATGACCGTTTCTCATCCTTACGACCGTCGCAGCATTCGTTCGTGATCAAAATTCATTCGAATATTGGCAGACTGCTATTATGTCTCCCCTGGTCCTTCTCTTCCCTCGACTAACCAGGCCCAGTTCCTGCAACCGTTCTTCGTATGTTTTAGCCTCCAGTCCCCTACTTCGCTTGGTTGCTCTTCTCTGCACCCTTTCTACACTCTCAATGTCTTTTTATATAGTACGGTGACCAAAACTAGATGCAAGACTCTAGGTGTGGCCTTACTAAGGCTTTATAGAGTGGTATTACTACCTCACTTGATCTTAATTGTATCTTTCTGTTAATGCAATTTAGGATTGCATTGGCTTTTGGGGCTGCTGTTTCCGGATTCCGGGGGGCCTCTAGGGCCCGGGGGAAGGCCATTTTCGCTCTCCCAGAAGCCTGAGGGAAGCCTCCGGATTCTGGGGAAGGTAAAAAATGCCCCTCCCAGAAGTTCCGGTAGGCCACACCCACCAGCAACTGGGCAGAGAACTGGTTCTCGGGGTTTTTGAATCCAACGTGGGTTAATGTCATTGCCCAGAGGATCCTGGGTTGCCCTCTCCCCTCTTTGGAAGAGGTTTAGAGCTGCCGTTGCCTTAAGGAAGTTCAAAACATCCTCAAAGATCCATCTCATCCTGGGAACCCCTTTTTTTTTCAACTGTTACCATCCGGCAGACGGTACAGGACAATAAGAACAAGGACAAATAGGCTGAAAAACAGCTTCTATCCCAGGGCAGGAACTCTATTGAATTCTACTGTATGGTGCAATATTGATGCAGTATCAGAGGTTTTCCATTCAATGTGTGGAGGGTGAAGGATGTCAGTTTGTGTTTTATTCTGAATGGCAACCCCCAAAAAGTAACTTATGACCGTTTCTCACCCTTACGACCGTCGCAGCATCTGTTCGTGATCAAAATTCAGACGTTTGGCAACTGACTAGGATTTATGGCGGGTCGCAGTGTCCCTGGGGGTCACGCGATCCTCTTTTGCAACTGTCTGACAAGCAAAGTCAACAGGGAAGCCGGGTTCGTTGAACGACCTTGCTATCAACTGAACAACTGCAGTGATTCGCTTAACAACGGTAGCGAGGGAGGTCGTAAATCGGGGGGGAAACTTGCTTAAGCACTTAGCGATGGGAATTTGGGGCTCAATTTTCATCATAAGTGGAAGACTGCCTCTTATCTTCTCCCAGGACACACAGAGGGCAGTACAGGTAGGTCCTCGACTTACAACAGTTCACTTAGTGACCGTTTGAAGTTACAACGGCAGTGAAAAAGCAACCTACGGGCAAAATCCACTTAACAAATGTCTCACTTAGCGACAGAAATTTGGGGCTCCGTTGTGGCCGCAAGTGGAGGACTTTAACAGCCTCACCTCAACATCATTCCTCGCCAGCTCGGTTAAGGAAGTCCTCGACTTACGCCCCACAATCGGGAGCTCAGCAAAGCGGCTATGAAGGGGCCCCGTGCCCCATTTTACAAAGTTTGTCAGCCTTGGTTGTTAAGTGAACCACAGAGTCCTTAAGCGAATCCAACTTCCTCCACCAGTTTTTGCCTGCTGGAAGCCCGCTGGGCGTTTACATGACCCCCAAAGCCCTGGTGGCCAAGCACCCCCATTTTTTAAATCACGCGACAGTCGTTAAATATGAGGACTGCCCGTTAAGTTGCTTTTTTTCAGTGCCATTGTAGCTTCGGGTGGTCACTAAATGAAATGCCTGTAATTCGAGGACTACTACTACTACTACTACTACTACTACTACTACTCTCTCTCTCTCTCTCTCTCTCTCTCCTTCGAAGGAAAATTTTGCAGTCAGACGAGCCAAGACTTTTGAATTCTGCATTCTGGCTCCAAACAGCCCATGTTACAGGGAGTCCTCGGCCTATGACTGTAAAAAAAAAAGCCCCAGGTATTTGTTGCAAAGCCAGACAAGTCGCTAAGTGAGTTTTGCCCCCCGGTTTATGACCTTTCCGGCTTCCCCCCACCCGTCGACTTCGCCAAAGGGGATTTAGGGTGTCCCCGTGAACCGTCGTCAGCGCGAGTCAGTTCTCAAGCATCCCGCATATAAATCCCGTGACCATGGAAATGCTGCAATGGTGGTTAAGTGAGGAAACGGGTCATAAGTCACTTGTCATGAGTCACTTCTTTTTCCAGTGCCGTTGGTAGGTTAAAACAGTCACTAAGCGAATGATTGTTAAGTCGAGGACTACCTGTAGTTTCTTAGGATTAATCTGCAAAAGCGGATTAACTGGAGGACCCTAGATTTGCCTGCCTGGGATAGTGCGCTTTGCAAGATCAGCCTTCGTCGCGCCCAATCCGGGGCTCTCTAACTTTTAAGGCAAGAGAATCCACGCAGGTAGACTCAAAGGTGCTTTTATTTTTCTCCCCACCTCCCCATTCCCCGCCCCCCCAAAAAAGGACTTTGTTTCTCCTTGAAGACGTCTCGCTTCTCCCCCGAGAAGCTTCTTCGGTTCTTGATCGGAAGCTTCAGCAGAAGGGAAGAAGCTCCTTGGAGGAGAAGCAAAACGTCTTCAAGGGGGGGGGGAAAGGTTGCTTTTTTGGGGGGTGGGCGAGAGGAGGTAGGAGGCTGATTACTGCCCGATGCTCTCTGAGCTTCATGGTTGCCTTGCAGACATTTCATTACCCAACTATGGAACATCCTCAGTGCTGGGAGGGAGTGGGGTTTGCAGAGGAGGAGGAGGAGAAGGAGAGGAAGAGGAGGTGGAGGGAGGAGGACTGTGGGATGCTTGGTGTCCTCCGACAGTTTTCTTGCAGGCATTTCATTACCCAACTACGGAACATCCTCAGTGATCGGAGGGGGGTTTGCAGGGAGGAGGAAGGGGAAGGAGGAGGACGGTGTGGGATGCTTGGCGTCCTCTGAGCTGGATAGCTTTCTCGCAGACATTTTATTACCCAACTATGGAACATCATCAGTGCTAGAAAGAAAGAGGAAGGAAGGAAGGGGGAAGGAAGGAAAAGGAAGGAAAGAAAAAAGGAAGGAAGGAAGAAGGAAGGAAAAAAGGAAAGGGGAAAGAAGGAAAAGGAAGGAAAAAAGGAAGGAAGGAGAAAGAAAAAGAAGGAAGGAAAAGGAAGAAAGGGAAAAAAAGGAGAAAGAAGGAAAAGGAAGGAAAAAAGGAAGGGAGAAAGAAAAAGAAGGAAGGAAGGAAAAAAGAAAGAAGGAGAAAGAAGGAAAAGGAAGGAAAAAGGGAAGGAAAAGGAAGGAAAAAAGGAAGGAAGGAGAAGGAAGGAAGGA